CTCGCTACGGACTGTACGAGTTCCTAGTGCTGCCGTTCGGATTGACGAACGCACCTGCCACGTTCATGCAGCTGATGAACGATGTGTTCCGCCAAGAGCTCGACAACTCTGTCATCGTGTACCTGGATGATATCCTTGTGTACAGCAAGGATGAAGCGACCCATGAAGGTCATGTCGCCCGCGTGCTGGCCAAGCTACGCGAGCACAAGTTGTATGCCAAACTGTCCAAGTGTGAGTTCTTCAAGAATCAAGTCCCGTTCCTGGGACACGTTGTCTCAGGAAGAGGAATCGAAGTCGACCCCGCCAAGGTCAAGTCTGTGGTCGAGTGGCCGCCGCTCGCATGCGTCTCTGACGTGCAGTCGTTTCTCGGTCTCGTCAACTACTACCGCCGATTCATCCCCGATCTGGCGCGCACTGCCGGTCCACTCACAGACCTACTCCGCAAAGAGTGCCCCTTCGTGTGGGACCACCCACAACGCCAAGCGTTCGAGACCCTCAAGCACGCCTTGACGAACGCTCCTGTCCTCGCTGTGTTCGACCCGAACACGGATGTCTCCGTGCACACCGACGCCTCCGACTTTGCGGTGGGAGCTGTTTTGATGCAGGAGGGAAGGCCCGTTGCCTTCGAGTCGCGCAAACTGTCCCAACACGAGATCAACTATCCCGTGCACGAGAAGGAGCAGCTTGCGATCATCTACGCGCTGCAGAAGTTCCGAGTGTACCTCCACGGTACCGCCAAGCCCTTCAAGATTGTGACGGACCACCAGTCACTGCGTTACCTCGACACCAAGAAGAACCTGAGCCGACGCCAAGCGCGATGGATGGAGTTCCTCGCCGAGTACAACTACGAGGTTGTATACCAGAAAGGCAAACTCAATGTGGTGCCTGACGCACTGTCCCGACGCCCCGACTACCAATTGGCGTCACTGTACGAGTCGACTGTCAGTGTCGACAACACGATGCTGGATGTTGTCCGAGACAACATCGCCAACGACAAACAGTTCGGAGAACTGTTCCGAAAGGTGTCTAAGCTCCCCAAGGACGACGAATCATCCGAGTACACAGTGCGTGATGGCCTGCTCCTCCTGAAGAAGGACAGCCGTGTCTGTGTGCCGGACATTCCGTCGTTGAAGACCAAGTTGCTCCAAGAGGTCCACGACTCGCCCCTCGCTGGACACTTTGGAGTCGAGAAGACATACGACCGACTGGCCAAAGTCGCATACTGGCCTGGAATGAAGCGCACCGTCGAGAAGTACATCGAGTCCTGCCATACCTGCAAGATGGTCAAGTCACGCACGACCCGAGAGCAAGGATTGCTGCAACCCCTGCCTGTTCCCGACCGCCCCTGGACCAGCATGTCCATGGATCTCATCACGCATCTACCGACGACCAAGTTGGACCACGATGCAATCGCTGTCTTTGTCGACAGGTTCAGCAAGATGGCACACTTTGTGCCGTGCCAGACGACATGCTCCGCGCCTGACCTTGCACTGCTGTTCTTCAAGCATGTGTTCAAGCACCACGGCCTCCCAAAGTCCATCGTCAGTGATCGAGACCCCCGATTCACCTCCTTGTTTTGGACAAGTCTGTTCGACCATCTCGGCACCAAGCTGAACATGTCAACCTCGCACCACCAACAAACGGATGGACAGTCCGAGCGGACGATCCGCACCCTCGAGCAATACCTGAGGACATACGCCTCGACCAGCCAAGACGACTGGGACATACAGCTGAGTCATGCAGAGTTTGCATACAACACCGCCAAGTCGAGCACAACTGGCTTGAGCCCCTTTGAGGCGCTCTACGGATTCCAGCCTGATGTTCCCACCTCCTTGACACTGACCGAGTCCACGGCTGGATTGCCTCCCAAACCAAGTGCCTTTGTCAAAGATCATCAAGTCCGACACAAGATGATCGCCGACGCGCTCACGGATGCGCAACAAGTGATGGCGAAGTACTACGACCGCCGACACCAGGATGTCTCCTTTGAAGTTGGAGACCTTGTCTACCTGGACGCCGACAACATCAAGGTCCCCGAAGCCCAGTCAAAGAAGTTGTTGCCCAAGTACCGAGGACCGTTCAAGATAGCGGCCCGACCCAGTCCCCTCAACTACCTGTTGGACTTGCCACCTGGAAGCAAGCTCCATCCTGTCTTCCATGTGTCCAAGCTGCGTCGCCACACGACCCGCAGTCCAGCACAGTTCCCCGACGCCGACGAAGGTGTCCCGGACGACGCACCACTGGAAGACGACCTCGGACAATACTATACTCAAGAATATGAAGTCGAAAGGATCGTGAGGCACAAGAAAGTGGCTGATGGGTCACTTCGGTTTTATGTCAAGTGGGTTGGTTACCCACACTCGGGCAACACATGGCAAACACTGGAGGACTTGTCCCATGCACCCGAGGAGCTGAGTAAATACGGTAAACACCTCGAGGAGCCCCAAATAAAGAGCACACGCAGGGCTCCTCGCAGGAAGCCTTCTTAAGTGTGGGAGTGTAGGAGATGGTATCTCCGACGCTGTGCTGCGCGTACTGCGCGTACTGCGCGGCGCAGTGGGTCGTGACCTGTGCTGCGCTTTGCGTTTTCACGCACCGCAGGCAGGCCACCGCAGGGTATACCTGCGGGTTGCCCCCGTTCCCCCCGTTTGTCTGGAGTTCGGTTTTATCGTGAATAAACGTAAGTGCTCCCCGAGCTCACCCGTCCGCTAGAGTAGCCTAGCACCGCCCTGTTCTGCCCCGTCCTGTCTTGTCTTGTACCCCCTCCCTCCCCGTCTTGCCCCAACGTCCCAGTAGTGGACGTTACAGCCTGCGGTGCGTGAAAACGCAAAGCGCAGCACAGGTCACGACCCACTGCGCCGCGCAGTACGCGCAGTACGCGCAGCACAGCGTCGGAGATACCATCTCCTACACGACATCATCACTCTCATAGTCAAAGTAATAGGACGTCTTTGGTGGCATTTTCAGTCGATCGCGTTGACTTGGGTGCTTGATCTCTGGCCCTGATTTTTTGCGTGTGTGGCGATGCCCTGTGCCTCAGGTTCGAATCCGCGCGAACCGTCTGAATCATGGCTCGATTCGGATCCAGCCTGATCACGTGGAGACGCACAAGGATTCGACCTGTCATTCACCCTTCGAAGCATCGCAGCCAAACACACATGCAGCGAACAGAGCGTGTACATGGATCAATGCATTTCTTTATTCAGTGAAGTCGTCGTCAGAGTCAGAAGTCAAGTCAAACGTCACACCATTGAGCTCGGGGGGAACAAAGACAGCGGCTGGGACAACAACAACATCATCCTCGGCATCCGAAGCGGTGCTGATGTCGTCCACAAGTTCGTCTTCAGAGTCAATGTCGTCGCGCCACTCAATTTCATCTTCGAAAAAATCATGGCACCGGGCATTTTTGAAGACATCCCTGCTTTCCTTGGCACTAAGAGGCTTGAATTGAGGGTGATCCGCCAAGGCATCGCTCTTGCGCGCGAGCAGGTCCACGACGTCTTCGGGGATGGAGATGGGAAATGGGGGGTTGGTGACGTGTTTCGAATGAAACTTGCAAACGGATGCCCAATGGGCGGGATGCTGAGTCGTTTGGGCGTTGAAGAGCAGCCTCCAAAACTTCATTTGCGTCCTGTCACAATCAAACGACTTGTAGATTGTGGCAAGGAGAGCGGTGGCGAATGGGTATCCGGCGACACTGGCAATCTTGAGGAGTGGGCGCACTGGAGTGTCATCGCTTGGGTGAATCGACATGTCACAAATCCGATTCAAATGCCCAATGCCCAAGAGGTAGATCGCGACAACGTCCCCGAGCTTGGCGGCCTTTTCGACGGCTTCGAAGTATGTCTTGATTTTGGATTGAGTCAGCTTGATCGTACCGTTAGAATTGATGACTCGGGTCATCATCAGGCGAGCAAAAACGGTCGCGGCGGTTGCTTGCTCGGCCTTTGTGTATGTTGTGGTGTCTTCGGGTGCGTCCATGATCTTCAAGAGCCATCGGTCGTCGAAACAGCTCGGGGACGGAGACGGATAGATCTGGTAGAGACGTCGTACTTCCTCGTCCAAAATCGTCGTTTGGACATCGAAACAGCCATTCTTGTTGACGAGGTAGTCTTCGTGGCTGTGGTAGATTTCCAACCCGGTGAAGCCGATCCAAAGGCGGTATTGAACCAACTTGGAGCCGCGGATGAGGGCTTCAAAGGTCTTGCAGGTTTGCTTGAGGCGGAGTATGGTGGGGATGTCCAGGAGCCAGAGGAAGGCTTCATTGGCCACGACGATTTCAGCTTGGGTCATAGGATTGACTCGGCGGATGGTGGCGACCTGGGTGACATGATCCGAGACGGGCTTGACCGTGGGGTACAAAACCGGAGAGGGCGGGGCAGCTGGTTCAGCTGGAGCATCATCGTGCTCGCGGACACATTGGCGCTTGGACGGGGACGTGGTAGACTCGACGAGAGATGCATTGGTGCGCTTCATAGTGAATGTAGAATGTATATAGTAGAGTGTAGTGTGTAAGTCGTAGGAAAGCACTGGAGAGGGTGGGTGCGGTGAGGTGCGGTTGCGTCGGAGACGGAGGGAACGGGTGTCCTTTTATCATCGGGGGGTGCGTCCGCTGCCTGCGTGCGCATGGGACATGTCGATTGGCTGGGGTTTGTTTCAAAATCGATAGCGAGGCTTTCTCCTTGATGGACGCCCCAGAGAGAATCATATGGTGCAAAAAAAAGATAGGGTTTGCCATCCTCAGTGACAAATACCTTCATCCGATCCGTTTGGGGCAGCCCTCATGATGCATGCGGCTCCTTCGAGTGTCCCGTTCTTGTCTCCCATCACACCACTCGGGAGGATGCGGCGCAGCATGATTTTCTGCGGATCTTGTTCTCTGGCGACGACAAACACATCCCATGCCGTTTGGGGTAGTCCGCATGATGCATGCGGCTCCTTCGAGTGTCCCTGGCTTGTCGTCCAATGCACCACTCGAGAGGGTACTTGCTTTTTTTCCTTGCCGTTGGGTTTTTTCTCCTTGATGTGATTTGATTTGGGTGGAGACCACATACTCCGAGGCGCACGGAGGGTATCTGGCTGGCCGATGATAAATAGGCCGCTGTCTCCCGCATCGAAGTTTTCATCCTCACCAGTCTCTACTCGACTACGACCTACTTCACTACAAGCGACTACGCTCTACGACTTACTCCAGGTTCGTGCTCTCCCACGCACACTGTAGGATGCTGACATGATCCCAGTCACTGACACACCCACTTTCCATTCAAACACAGACATGTCTACTCCTTCCGCCTCTTCCGCTGTCCCTCTGCGCTCCCTTCGTTGCGCCGAAGTCCTCGAAGATGGCACTCGCTGCCCCGGCCGCGCTGTCCAGACCGGCCTCAAGTGCAATGTCCATTGCACCAAACCAGGCTACAACCATCGATGCCCCTATGCCACCGGCATGTCGGGTTACACTCTGCAGTGCTCCAAGTCCTGCATGGAGGGCTTTGACGGGTGCTTCCATCACCGCCGCTTCCCCGAAGCGGACTATGTGGGTCGCTGCACCCACATGACCAAGAAGTCCGACTTGAAGATCCGCTGTTCGTGCAAGTCGCTTCATGGTCGCAATGTTTGTGAGTGGCACGACCGGTATCCCACGCGCTCCTATCTGGAGGTGATGCAGGTGGATCGAAAGCCTGTGTATTACGACTCCGACTCGGACAACGAGCCCGGTCCATCGACTCCTCGTCGCACCCATATGAAGCGCACTACCCGCGCCCCCGAGGCCTTTTGGGATGCCGAGGATCACGACGAACCTGCTTTTGTCTCCCCCGAGCAGAAGGCCGCCGATGCCAAGAAGGCCGAGGAACTCGCCAGGATCGTGAGTGCACTCATGTCTGTCTCGGACAGAGGCGAGGCCATCGATACGGATGCCGTCAGCAAGGTGAGCCTCGGACCCGCAGCACCCAGTCCTGTCTTTCTCGCTCTCAATCGCGTCAATGTTCTCAACTGGCTTCTCTGCACCCCAAAGATCATTGCTGGCGTCATGAGTGAACGCTCCCCCAGAGAGCGTCACTCCTTCACTCCCGCACCCAAGGCCTCCAAGGGTACCAAGGTCAAGACTGAGCGTGGCTGAATGAATGGTGTATTGTTTTGTTTGTCGACACAGTCATGAATACATTCGCGCTGCGCCACTCGTCGACAATGGACATGGGTCATGGTGGTGTTTGGCGACCAGGACGGGGGGGATGATCTCCATGGTTTCAAAACCGTTACTGCGAAATCGCAGGCATGTCCACTCACACTGATGCTCAACACGAGCGACTCACATTCTACACCCGGGCCACATACACTGCCACACACAGCCTCGGGCATGGTGCGATTGCAGCGCTGCTCCGCCACACCAGGGAACCAAGTCCCTGTCGTTCAGGGACGTTTTGGCGGGTACTCCACTACTGCGCTGTCCGGGGCCACACAAAAGTCTTGCGCATCCCCAGTTCCCTCAGGCATTCCCTTGCCCTCGCATCCCGCAGTGCACCCGAACCAATGCCAGCCCCTCTCAGCCAGACCGTTCGTCCCGTCTTCCAGACCTTCGATTCCGCCGGTGTCGATGCGGTCCAGCAGCTCTTTCCGTTCCACCAAGTCGAGCATCTCGATGTCTCCGGTCTTGTGATCGTTCGCTCTGCCTGTGTGAGCACCACTGATCTGGCCAAGTTCGCTCAGCGCCTCTCCGATCACTTTGTCGTCCGCGTGTGTGTCCCGCTTCAGGCCGATCTCGATGGCGAGTTCCCCGATCGCCCGTGGGTCGTCCACTCGATCGAGGAGCGCAACGGCCTCGAGTTTGTCGAGTTCGCCCGTCCCGGCGACACCTTCAACTTTCCCGAGTACAAACGCAGCAACAGCGAGCTCCCCCAGACCCATGGGGCTCCCTTCATTCCTGGCAGGCTGACCCACCACATTCCCGAGGCCGGTCTCGACCGTTTCCATCGCCAGTACCTCGCCAAGTACTTGCAGGGCTACCGTGTCTCCATGATCGAGCGCACCGACGCTCTCTTCAATTTCTTCATGGATCTCGATGGCAGCCAGCTTGCATCCCAGCATGCCGATGGTGCCCATGGTCTCTACAAGGCCATGTATGACCATGTCAGCAGCACCATCAACGACGCCCCCATCGTCACCATGCGCACCACCCACGATGGCTCGAAGATCGCGGGCTGCCATTTCCATTGGCCCAATCTGCAGATCACTCCCGACAATGCCAAGCACGTGATCGATCGCCTCAAGGCTGGTGCTCCTTCCTCTGTCCCCGACACCTTCTTTGACTCGAGCGTCTATCGTTCGGGTCTGCGTATGCTGCATTCCTGGAAGCAGCGCAAGGAGTCCGACACCAGCTTCAACGAGCATTACCACATTGCCCAATGGGACTACGCTGATCACCAATGGGTCAGACGTCCCGGTGCCGCCTTCACCGTTGCCGACCTGTAACGTCCACTACTGGGACGTTGGGGCAAGACGGGGAGGGAGGGGGTACAAGACAAGACAGGACGGGGCAGAACAGGGCGGTGCTAGGCTACTCTAGCGGACGGGTGAGCTCGGGGAGCACTTACGTTTATTCACGATAAAACCGAACTCCAGACAAACGGGGGGAACGGGGGCAACCCGCAGGTATACCCTGCGGTGGCCTGCCTGCGGTGCGTGAAAACGCAAAGCGCAGCACAGGTCACGACCCACTGCGCCGCGCAGTACGCGCAGTACGCGCAGCACAGCGTCGGAGATACCATCTCCTACACTCCCACACTTAAGAAGGCTTCCTGCGAGGAGCCCTGCGTGTGCTCTTTATTTGGGGCTCCTCGAGGTGTTTACCGTATTTACTCAGCTCCTCGGGTGCATGGGACAAGTCCTCCAGTGTTTGCCATGTGTTGCCCGAGTGTGGGTAACCAACCCACTTGACATAAAACCGAAGTGACCCATCAGCCACTTTCTTGTGCCTCACGATCCTTTCGACTTCATATTCTTGAGTATAGTATTGTCCGAGGTCGTCTTCCAGTGGTGCGTCGTCCGGGACACCTTCGTCGGCGTCGGGGAACTGTGCTGGACTGCGGGTCGTGTGGCGACGCAGCTTGGACACATGGAAGACAGGATGGAGCTTGCTTCCAGGTGGCAAGTCCAACAGGTAGTTGAGGGGACTGGGTCGGGCCGCTATCTTGAACGGTCCTCGGTACTTGGGCAACAACTTCTTTGACTGGGCTTCGGGGACCTTGATGTTGTCGGCGTCCAGGTAGACAAGGTCTCCAACTTCAAAGGAGACATCCTGGTGTCGGCGGTCGTAGTACTTCGCCATCACTTGTTGCGCATCCGTGAGCGCGTCGGCGATCATCTTGTGTCGGACTTGATGATCTTTGACAAAGGCACTTGGTTTGGGAGGCAATCCAGCCGTGGACTCGGTCAGTGTCAAGGAGGTGGGAACATCAGGCTGGAATCCGTAGAGCGCCTCAAAGGGGCTCAAGCCAGTTGTGCTCGACTTGGCGGTGTTGTATGCAAACTCTGCATGACTCAGCTGTATGTCCCAGTCGTCTTGGCTGGTCGAGGCGTATGTCCTCAGGTATTGCTCGAGGGTGCGGATCGTCCGCTCGGACTGTCCATCCGTTTGTTGGTGGTGCGAGGTTGACATGTTCAGCTTGGTGCCGAGATGGTCGAACAGACTTGTCCAAAACAAGGAGGTGAATCGGGGGTCTCGATCACTGACGATGGACTTTGGGAGGCCGTGGTGCTTGAACACATGCTTGAAGAACAGCAGTGCAAGGTCAGGCGCGGAGCATGTCGTCTGGCACGGCACAAAGTGTGCCATCTTGCTGAACCTGTCGACAAAGACAGCGATTGCATCGTGGTCCAACTTGGTCGTCGGTAGATGCGTGATGAGATCCATGGACATGCTGGTCCAGGGGCGGTCGGGAACAGGCAGGGGTTGCAGCAATCCTTGCTCTCGGGTCGTGCGTGACTTGACCATCTTGCAGGTATGGCAGGACTCGATGTACTTCTCGACGGTGCGCTTCATTCCAGGCCAGTATGCGACTTTGGCCAGTCGGTCGTATGTCTTCTCGACTCCAAAGTGTCCAGCGAGGGGCGAGTCGTGGACCTCTTGGAGCAACTTGGTCTTCAACGACGGAATGTCCGGCACACAGACACGGCTGTCCTTCTTCAGGAGGAGCAGGCCATCACGCACTGTGTACTCGGATGATTCGTCGTCCTTGGGGAGCTTAGACACCTTTCGGAACAGTTCTCCGAACTGTTTGTCGTTGGCGATGTTGTCTCGGACAACATCCAGCATCGTGTTGTCGACACTGACAGTCGACTCGTACAGTGACGCCAATTGGTAGTCGGGGCGTCGGGACAGTGCGTCAGGCACCACATTGAGTTTGCCTTTCTGGTATACAACCTCGTAGTTGTACTCGGCGAGGAACTCCATCCATCGCGCTTGGCGTCGGCTCAGGTTCTTCTTGGTGTCGAGGTAACGCAGTGACTGGTGGTCCGTCACAATCTTGAAGGGCTTGGCGGTACCGTGGAGGTACACTCGGAACTTCTGCAGCGCGTAGATGATCGCAAGCTGCTCCTTCTCGTGCACGGGATAGTTGATCTCGTGTTGGGACAGTTTGCGCGACTCGAAGGCAACGGGCCTTCCCTCCTGCATCAAAACAGCTCCCACCGCAAAGTCGGAGGCGTCGGTGTGCACGGAGACATCCGTGTTCGGGTCGAACACAGCGAGGACAGGAGCGTTCGTCAAGGCGTGCTTGAGGGTCTCGAACGCTTGGCGTTGTGGGTGGTCCCACACGAAGGGGCACTCTTTGCGGAGTAGGTCTGTGAGTGGACCGGCAGTGCGTGTAGGAGATGGTATCTCCGACGCTGTGCTGCGCGTACTGCGCGTACTGCGCGGCGCAGTGGGTCGTGACCTGTGCTGCGCTTTGCGTTTTCACGCACCGCAGGCAGGCCACCGCAGGGTATACCTGCGGGTTGCCCCCGTTCCCCCCGTTTGTCTGGAGTTCGGTTTTATCGTGAATAAACGTAAGTGCTCCCCGAGCTCACCCGTCCGCTAGAGTAGCCTAGCACCGCCCTGTTCTGCCCCGTCCTGTCTTGTCTTGTACCCCCTCCCTCCCCGTCTTGCCCCAACGTCCCAGTAGTGGACGTTACATGGTAGCATCGGAAATCCTCGTCTTGTTTTCGTCCTGTTTGTCCTCTTTCTAGATCCTCAAGCTGGATCCCGCCTCTCTTGCCGACCGACTCTCCTCTCTGTCCCTGGAGCCTGCCCCTGCCATGAGCAACCCCCGCCCACTTCCGGAAGCCTTCCTCAAGACCTTCCGTGCCCCAGTGTTTACTGGGAAGAGCCGCTCCTCCTCGGTGGAGGACTGGCTGCAGCAACTCGAGGACTACCTCGATGCTGCCCAAGTCGCCCCCACCCACCACATCGTCGCCGCCAAGCTCTGCTTAAAGGACCAGGCGTACCGTTGGTACCGCCGCCAAGGGTTCGACGAGCAGAGCGAAGGTGTGTTTGACGACTTCAAGGACCGCCTCCGTCGCCGCTTCGGCAGCCCCAATGCTGAACTCATTGCCCGTGACAAGCTATACTCTCTCGTGCAGCGTGGTTCTGTGACCCGCTACATCGAGGAGTTTGAAGACCTCTCCTCCCAGATTGAGGAGCTGGGCTCTGCTGATGCGATGTACCTCTTCCAGAAGGGCCTCAAGCCCAAGATCAGAGAGTACATCGCCAGCAACCCTGATGCCCGCAAGTCCCTGGACGTGATGATGGACGTTGCCGAGAACCTCGACAACGTCCAGTACCATGGCCGCCAGTTCTACCCGCAGCTGGCAGGCGGCCATCGGTCTCATCACGTCCCAGCCCGTCCGCCTCGCCCGGCCCCGCCCGCAAGACCCATGCCTGAGCCCATGGACGTTGACGTCAACGCCATGGAGGCTCGTGGCCCTCCCCGCTCCCGGTTCCAGCAAGCTGCCACTGTCTCCCCCAAGGACAGACAGAAGCAGGAGGACCTCCGCCATGGTTCCTGCTTCTTCTGTCACCGACCGGGACACCAGGCCAAGGAGTGCCCCATGAAGTCGGGAAACGGCCGACCCTACTAGGTGGCTCTGGAGCCCTAGTAGGAGACCAACGCCGTGGATTGCTCAATGCAGTCCACGCGTCTCCAGAGGAAGTTCACCTCGCCCCCTCCCCCGAAGGAGAAACAAACCAAGTGTTGTGCGTCGTGCGAGAGGTGCATGGTGGCGCAAGCCGCCTGCCTCTCCACGAACGTGAAGAGAAAACCAAAATTGAAAACCAAAACAAAAAAGAAAATCAAGAACCCTTGAGGGACAGGACCGCCTGTGCCCTCACCCCTGTCAAGTCGTGTGTGTCGGATGCTTCCGACATGTGTCCGCAAGCCGTGGACGTCGTGTGCAATGGCGTGCTGACGCCGCAGGCCCCCGCAATGGCCGAACCCTATCCAAAATGTCCGAGTGGCCGTGATGAAGCCAACCAAGACCAAGTGTCGCCCGTTCCCCCAAGTCAAGTCATGGTGCAGGAGGCTGTGCAGGAGGACCATGAAGAGTCCCTGCTGTACCTCCCTGCCACCGTCCAAGGTCACACCGTCCGAATGATGGTGGACTCTGGAGCAAGCTGCAACTTTGTCAGCAGACGCTTGCTCCAGGAGCTCAACATACATGCAACCAAGAAGAAGTCGCCGATGAGTGTGGCGCTTGCAGACGATCGTGTGCAGCAGTGCACACACCAAGTGGTCCTGCGAGTGGCCCTCCATCCCAAGTACCATCCTGTCCTGTTGTTCCAAGTGATCGACACCAAGTTCGATGCCATCCTCGGCATGAGCTGGCTTGCTCGTGCCGAGCCGACTCCAGTCGTCGACTGGAAAGGCCGCACTGTCCGTGTTGGCCCTGACATTGTCCTGCAGGGCATGGCCTCACCCAACATGCCACCTCTCCTCTCAGCCATGCAATTCAAGAGGCTGATCAAGAAGGACACGTCGTTCCTCTGTGTCGTGCGTGAGGTCGACGACACCGACCAAGCCGGTCCCGGTCCCCCGCCTGTGGTGACCAAGCTGCTCGACGAGTACAAGGACGTATTCCCCGACCAGTTGCCACAATGCCTGCCACCCCAACGCACCGTCGATCATCGCATCGACATCGAACCAGGCTCGTCGCCTCCGTCAAGACCGACGTACCAACTGTCGCTGACGGAGATGGACGAACTCAAGCGCCAGTTGGATGACCTCCTCGCCCATGGGTTCATCCGCCCGAGCCAGTCACCGTATGGTGCACCAGTGCTCTTTGTCAAGAAGAAAGAAGGTGATCTCAGGATGTGCGTCGACTATCGCGCACTAAACAAACAGACCATCAAGAACACCTACCCGTTGCCCAGGATCGACGAGTTGATGGATCGTCTGAGTGGAGCAAAGGTCTTTAGCAAGATAGACCTCCGCTCAGGC